CAGGTTAGACTGAAGTTTCGACTTCGTCTAGGCCTTAATAACACCTCCAGTGGGAATCGAACTATGACAGTGAAGTATTGCTGGAGGTGCTGATATGACCTAGGCGAGGTGGAAGCTCCAGTCCACGTTTTGAGAAACAAGACTATGTGAAATTCAATGAAAAAGTAAGGTCTACTCATGTCAATGTGGGAAAATTAAACTAGTAGTCCTGCATCGCCTTCGTATATCTGACTTACTGGCAGTATCGAAACCCTATTTATAAACGAAAAATAAATAAGATTGCCTTTTTTGAATGATATGGTTAGTAGGGAATATGAAAATTTAGGTAAAGGTGTTAATAAGAAACCGATAGATGCTAGTTTTGTTCTGAATTTTCTTTCTAACCACAGTTGCAGAACTAAGGTTGGAATTATAAATGTTGAGCTTACTTCCATTTCGAGTGAAGCTTTCGTCCATCATCTGACGGACATCATCAGAGCGAAGTAACATTGTCACAACAAAATTCAAGCTAGCGAATTTTATTGACTCATATGACGGACGAAAGCTTAGAACCTTTCTATCGGTATCGAAGGAGTTGCTTCGGAAACAGCGTCAGCATGAATCTTCCAGCAAAGCCAATTGACAGCTGGTCAAGAGGAATCCGCCGTCGTCTTCTGGAGGAGCCGACCTTCGAATCTCTTCACGCAAACTTTCACTCGAAATGGAAGTAAGCTCAACAATTATGAAACAAGAGATTCCTCGAAACCTAACTTTTCTTCATATTTATTTGCACAGCTCACCTACTCGAAATGGAAGTAATCCCAACAACTATGAAACAAGAGATTCCTCGAAACCCAACTTTTCTTCATAGACTCGAAATGGAAGTAAGCTCAACAATTATGAAACAAGAGATTCCTCGAAACCCAACTTTTCTTCGCATATGGAATTATATAGTCTAGGAAAATTATTAGATAATGCGGTTTGCGGATAGAAATAATCAAACTAAAGAGTCAAGAGGACTTTAACCTTTAATCATAAAATAATTATCATTTAGATTTAGTTCTTATTAACATCTTTAGTAAGTGATTAATTTTCAGATGAAGAGTATTTGGCCAGAGATAGAGGGGCTAAGATTCTTTCTCATGTTTTGTCTTTGGCGTCAGGCCTTCTTTTTAGGAAAATAGGCGAACGAGTGAGAAAGTGGTGGATGAAAGTAGTTTTCACAGAAACTTTGACACTCTTTGAATATGCCTTCTTGAAGACGGAAGCATGAGCCAGATTGTATGCTTCTGTGGTCGACCTTATGTTGGTGAAACATGTCAGTCTATCCGATAAAAACTATCGGAGCACAATAATGCTTCTAAAGGCAGATAAGTCGAGTGGTCCGAAGTAGCTGAACACAGGCCGAAAACTGGACATGAGATAGAATGGTCTCAGACGTAGAGCTTTGCTTATTATGGTACGTCTGTACGAAACACGAGGCTATTGAAATCAAGAGGGTAAACAGTATTCTGCTATACTTTGGTAAGAGATTCTTCTAAAAACGGTATATCTACATGCTTATGAAGGACATATGGACATCAAACTTTTCGAAGTCCATCACCTTACACCAGGACTAAGAACGCGTGGCCAGGCAAGTTGGCCATATTCGCTTTTTGAAATTATGTTCGCCGCGTAGAATTATTCCTACATTTTGTATTATTGACGGACCGAAAATTCCTTGTAGAACTAAGCAAGTCGTTGTGGGGACATCTCACGATTTATTCATTGCTAGAATTCAAGTAAATACTATAAAATCATACTCTTTGATTGGGAGTTGAATCATATGACGGCAATCGCTGTCTAAAGCTCTTAGATCAGACGAATTCTCTAAGTTGGTAACAATGCCAGACAATTTATGTGACAATTCTTCAACAGGTTGGGATAAAACATAATAAAAAGCTTAGGCATTTGGATAAAAGAATTAAGACGGGGTTATCTGGAGGAATTAGGGTAGGAAAGAAAGTGGTAAACCTGTCCAAAATATCACTGGGCGCAATCACTAAGGAAGTTCTTTCTAAAGGTTTGATCTTTGCGTTGCCAAACAGTAAGGATAGCAAGGAAGAAATATTGGTAGAACTCATAAGTTTACAGATTGTTTGCCTAAAGAGACTACGAGTGATATCGAGTTGCAGGCTGTCCCTTTAATTGAAAATAATAGAACAAACAGCATCATTAAACAAGTAAGAGACCAGAAACAAATGATGTTAATGGCAGACAAGGGAGGAGGAGCAGTAGTCGTTGTGGATAAGGTTAGTTATGTAGAAAAGGTTATGCAGGCACCAGATGATATATTAACATACAAGGTTTTTAATAAGGACTCTACAGAAACTGCTTCAACGGGATGCCAGGACTCTGAATTCAGATGGTCTGTCCAAGGTACATAAGGAAGGAATCCAACTCAGAATGATTGCCAATAATAAGAGTAGCGTCATGCATAAACATCACGATATGTCTGTTGGCAAATAAAGCAACGTCAGCTCAACTCATCACCTTAAATGAAATTGGGTGAATTCATTTCATAAAGTTAATCTGAACGTCGTATTAACGCCAAACGGCTGCAGAACAACGCGAGCCATCCGTCGTATTCTGGTGATATCAGCTTATAAATCTCTACATCATGCACTTTACATGAAATTAAAGTCTCCACAACAATAAAATATGTACAGTTAATAGATAAATTCGTCAATTTGTGAGAGCATGTTTGACTCCAATTTTAAATGACCAAATCGGAGGCTCTCTTAATTCGAGGAGCACTCTCAAAATTGTGCTATTTGGCAGCACAGCAAAGATGGCCTACAAAAATACGTCTAATTTATCAATGGAATAGGAGAGATTAGCACATTTACAATGGAGGTAGATAAGGATGGTAAACTGCCATTTCTAGATGTTTTTGTTGGTCAAGCAGGGAGTAAAATTATGTAGATGTGTATGGGGAACCGTTCATGACTTGTTTTATAAGCATACTTCTGAATTCAAAGCAAATCTCATGAAGTCGGAGATAATAAGAAGTATGTGTAAAGAAGATGGATATCACCGGGAGTAGAAAGTGAGCGGGATGAGTGACCGTTTGGCTCAGCCAATTATCCACTACGACAATTATTTTTCAATGTTTATAAATACTATTAGGTCATTCTATTCTTTTCCAAATGCTATCATCATGTCAGCTATGGAAAAGGGTAGGTCAAATATTAAGGAAATTGGATACCAGAACATCAGAAAAACAAATATTTTCCTCGATTATGCCTTTTTTTAAAGAATCTTCCTACTCTACATCAATGAGTTAAAGAGCTGGCGCTCACGTGATAGTACTATGCAAGATGAGCCTGCCTACTCAATCAGAAGAGGTTAATCGAAAGTATGAAGACCAAGATGGTGTGTCCTTTCGTTGTATGCAAGTTGATTGACCTTGTTTTCGCAGCATGGTCATGTTGGTAGGAAGACTTGAGGAACGCGCCTAGTCCGAAGTCCATTGTCTGCATGATCATTTCCAAAGCTGAACCGTGAACGTGGTACATTCTCAAACGTTTCGCTGGCATCGTCAGTGAGTATCGCCATTCTTGGCACCATACAACAACTCGTCAAAGAGACAAGTGAAGCCCATCCTTTGACCAAACGTGTGCTAAACCGTTATGGTATCTCCCCTTCTGCCCTAAATTATTCGCGTTTCCTGTATCATCCTATCATACCTTCTTTATTACAATTTTACTGTGTTTTATTTAGATATAGTGTAGTGTGCTCCTTTGAGCGACATGACACTTCCCCACTCCAACTGTCGCTCTCACCCCCACACTTGATCTTTGTGCAGGGAACGTTGGTTAGAATCTGCTTTATTATTGTGCAGTCCTCTTTCCTACTCTTATCACAGTCTCTCTCTTGCTACGTAAGATCCGTCTGCTCTACCCCCTTGTTCACCTATTTCACTCGACTCCTGCCACCACATCTATCCTACTCGAGGCGTTATTCGCCCTTTGCTACATGTACCAGGTCTCTGGTACAACAGACCTATCGTCAGCCAACTAGCTCCGGTCTCCGCCGTCTCTATCCAGTTTCTATCCCTAATACCAACTCTATGATTTGTCATGTATCTTGTGTATCAACCCACAAATGTTGTGGCACAGCTTGTTTTGACTTGGTTCAATGTTGAACCACAACATATGTGGGTTGGCATACAAGAGACTATGACATGGCAAAGCATAGACTTGGTATTCGGGATAGAATACAGGATAGAGTCTCTGCTATACCAGAGACGTGGTATAGAGGTTATTTGAAAACAAAAGCGCCCTAAATGTTTGGTGAGTTGGAAAATCTGAAAAGACTGACCGCATAGCCAATATAAGGCACCAAATAAACGCTACGATTTGCAGGATACACAGACTTAACAGTTGAACGTTGTATCAGGAAGGCTATGGCACTAAACAGGGCAACCAACATTTTGAATAGGTGGAATTTAAGTGGGGGAAATTTAACGGAAACTATGCCCGACTATTGGATAGGATTATGGAGAGAGTAGGATGAGAAATCGGGCAAAAAGTTTAACGAGTCGGAGACTAGTTAAAGGTCCTCACATCTCATATGAAGGATGAGCAACCAGAAGCCAGGATAAGCACTGATAGACACGCAACAGTTCATTTGGGCGAGGAAACAGGTATTTTGGCCACATTAGCCTAAACTTCACACAGACACACGCGGATGAGGCAAAACAGGAAATGGCTAACCGAATCAACAAATATGATTTTAAAGAAAATGGATTATTAGAAATAGATTGGAATGCAACTGGCCACGATTATTGGCTGAGTAATAGATGGATCAATGTGGCAGAAGGGTGCATTATGGACTTCTTCGTACGAACCAAAGCAGGCAATCTTCCATCCTTTTTCAATTCGGCCAATTTTCGCATTCTTAACTAACAACTTTTTGGAAGAAACGAAGGTTCCAGAGAATGTACTCTGTTGCCAAAATTCAGTGGACTCAGAACGCCTTCACAGGCTTTTGGGTGACATCAAGCCAAACGCATGTCTGTATGAGAAAAATGCCTATTTGTGAAAAATGAAAACTCAGATACCTGAACTCTCGATAGGCAGAGGCAGGTCGAGATGAACATTCCGCGAAGACGGGTCCGGTGGCACTAGGGGCCAAGGTGGGAGGTCGCGGTAACCAGGCACCGAGTGATTGAGAAAATGTGACATGGTGCCCAGTTGGAACTGCGACCGGTCTAAATGAGGAGGCAAATGAATTAATATTATTCATCTATTAAAAAATTAAATTAAAGATAAAAATATGTCTCCATGGGTGTTTGGATGGTATAGAAAAGTAGATCGATGGAGTCGTTTCACCAGTTACTAGCTGACGCATTACTTCAATGCTTTTCAATTGTCAAGTAATATGATTCTTTTGTGTGGCTATATTAAATGTAGCCATCATATGGATTTATAAATGGTTAACGATGAGTTCCAAATTTGCGTCGATTTATTATTTTCCCAGTATGCCTTCGTGAATGTTCAGTGTGCTATCTTCTAGTTCAGTGCTGCTGTTTTATTGGTTTATGTCCAGACATAGCACAAGAAATGTGCGATTTGTTTCCGTGCTGTCTGCATAAATGATTATCAACCAAAATGCTGTTTTTCAGTAAAGCGAGAGTGTTTCACGCCCGGCATTTTGCTGATTCTCAGAAATGTACACATTCGCGCTGTGCATTGTTTGCTATCTGTGAGAGTCTGGGGAAACGATTAACTGTTTTACTGTCTGATGTACCAGTACTTGCAACTTAAGCTCGTATGCTTCCACCATATCACCATCTGGAGGTATTATGAGCCCATTTTTGTAGACTAAACTTCGAAGAAAGAATTTGTCCAAAAGTGCTCTAGGCTTATGTTCTGCTCGGACAATTAATTCCTTTAATAGGGGCTACAGCCGACAGTTATCACACAAGCCGATGAGGGGCTGCTAATTGAATTTTCTCACAGTGATACGGAAAGGCCCCAGGATACTCTCTCTTTCTCTCTCTCTCTATATATATAAATATATATATATATAATATAGTCAAGGCAAAAGTATTATACTACGGAATGCATAGCTTTATCCTGCTTGGAATGATGGCTTCGGTCTGCATGTCATTGGTAGGATGAGAATGGTTGAGTTTTATAACTTTTGGATGTTTTTCTACTTGACTATTCCCAATTACTTTCCAGAGACTGAGGAGCTGAAAATAAACAGCAAAGAGCAAGACTAGTGCCTATGTGGGTTTATTTCAATGTTGCTTGAATTATGTTCCTCAAGTAGCTATTGTGCCTTTCAATATTTATTTTGTTAACGTCGATCCTTTTGTTCAAAGATTAAGTTGTGATATTATTATATCAGAATAAAGTCGATTTAATGTCGATGCTTACCAATTTGTTGCCAAATGCATTTATGTTGCAAGGCTAAGAGCCTGGGCTTAGCATGTTTTATCTATAGCTTTTGCTTGTGCGTGCTTCAGTATTGCTTACTGGTTCCATTTCAACAAGTATGAGGATATAAATTTAATCAAATTATAAACAAACCATACTTTTTGCAATTTGAGTGTTCAAATG